AAAAGAAACAGTTTGTTAAATATAATGTGAATTTATGTTGATATTAAGTATGATTTCTTTTATTGACATAAGATTAATAAGACAGAAACTTCACTACTTTAAGCAAATAATTCAATGGCACTGACTACATTCACAGAGTGGTACAATCATCTCTTCTACTCCTAAAATATTTCATCAGCTCAGAAGCAGACATTGCCCTTTCTAGGCAGTCTCTCCTCATTCCTCCTTCCCCCAAGCCCTGGCAACTCTGGTTTGTTTATTTCTGTGGATGTGTCTGTTCTGAAGTCTTCATATAAGTCAGGTCTTATATGACTTAATAATGTAACTTCTTTTACCTAACATGACTTGGGTCTTCTCCATGTCGTAGCGTGTATCAGCGATTCCTTCCTCTTTGTGGTTCAGTAATATTTCATTGCATATGGATATACTTCATTTTGTTTATAGTCCCATCCACTGGTGGACATGTGGATGTTGCCACCTTTTGACTATTGTGAATAGTGTTATTGTAAATGTTGACCTATGAATTTTGGTTTGGATAACATTTTCATTATTTTACATACGTATTTAGAAGTGGAATTGAGTGATATGGTAATTCTATGTTCAACTTTGTAAGGAGCCACCAGAATATCTTACCAATATGTCTGTAACATTTTACATTTCCACCAGCAACATGCAAGACCTCAAATCTCCATACCTTCAGCAACACTTGTTATTTCTATCTCATTTTTTTTTGTTTTTTGATAAACTTCCTAGTATGTGTAGACCAACATCTCACTGGGGTCTTGATTTTTATTTCCTGAATGTTAATTGTGTTAAATCTCTTTCCATGTGATTGTTGGATGTTTTTGAATCTTGTTTGGAGAAATGTCTATTGAAATCTTTGCCTGTTTTTCTGTTGTCGTTTGACTTTGGATTGAAGAGTGTCTTTTATATGTTCTGATAATGAACCTTATGAGGTGAGTGATTTACAATTATCATTTCCTACCCCATTGAATAAATGTTTTAAATTTGGGTGAAGTAAGTAAGTTATTTAAACTTATTTCTAAAATAAGTAGTTGTGTGTGCATTTGGTGTCCTATCTAGGAATCTGTTGTCAAATCCAAGGTCATAAAGATTTATTCATATTTTCCCTAATTTTACCTTTATCTATTTATT